AGTGCCCGCGTCACTCAGAGTACCTCTGGCAACGTGGGAAGCTAAAACAGGTAGCTTGTGGAGCACGTAGAGATCACGGACCTTCCCCATCTTTGTGCTACTGCATTCAGAGCGGAGTGTTTCTGAAGGAGCTGAAGACAACTGTGTTCATTTTTGCGTGTAGTGCTACTGTTAAGGAATAAGCTTCATTGATCCCAGAAACAAAAGAGAAGTTAATTTAAAAAATATCGTACGAGAGTACACTAGAAAAAGAACCCAAAGCCCATTTATTTAATGGTATTGAGTAAATGAGGGCTACAGACAGATATTTCTTTTATAAGTTCTGAGTAAAAATTTTCCAGATATACATTCGGAGCATAAATACAGCCTATCAGAACAGATTCCCCATATAAACGTCCTAATAACAAATCTACCCTGATCATCTTTAATACACTTTGTAAGAACAAATGGGGTATTTTTATGAATTAAAATTGCAACCCCTCTCTTGCTTGATGAAAAAGAAGAAAAGCACACCTGCCCCACCCATTCTCTCTTTAGTTTTAGGTGTTCCACATCTGAGAGGTGAGCTTCTTGCAGGAGAGCAATGTTAGTTTTCTCCTTCTTAAACCAGGTCAGAATTTTCTTACGTTTAATAACATTGTTTATCCCTTTAACATTTAGGGAAACATACTTTAGATCACTCATTGCAGGATCGGTTTACTTAGATTATGTATTGTGGTAGCGACAACAGAAGTATCAACCTTGTAGTTTAACTTATAAAAACAGATTATCCTCTGATCTGCTCAAACACCAACAAAATATAGACAAAAACAAAAATCTGGGTACTGAAAAATAATATTCCTGCAATAAACATTTATATCACATATAACATTTCAAAAGGTGATTGTCTTTATTGTTATGATATGGTTGTACTCATCTACTATTACTATATGTTTAAGCCTCCATCTGACTCTGTGGGAGCATCATAAACAGTTTGTACTGTGATAACTACCTACTGTACAGGTAGCTTGTTTTGGCACTGAAGTTACCTACCTACCTACATACCTGCCTACCTACCTACATACATACATACATATAGATGTACACATCATATGATTTTGTGTCTTTATGTCTTTAAGACATTCCTGCAGTTTAACTCATTGGTGTGTGTTATCTGGCTTCATGGACAGATAGAGCTGGGTGTCATCTGCATAGCAGTGTAAATGTATGCTATGTCTTCTAATGA